GCCTGAGGTCTGAGGGTCCAAGGACGGGCTCAGGAGCCCACAGTTGACCCAGTGGTGGCTGGTGAGACTCAAGGGAGTCTCCGAGATGCTGCTGGGGAAAGTTCCTTGATCTAAAGAGCAAGTCATAAGAGACCTTCCATTGCTTAACTTGTGGAATGGGTGTGGCCACCTTGCTACCAGCTGGGGGGACAAGGTCAACACCAAGAATGAAGTATAATGGAATGGTCCTTAAAACTGAGCCACCTCTGTCTTCGTCTACTCTGGCTACCATAACAAAATGCCATGGACTGGCAGCTTAAATAGCAGACATTTATTTCTTGCTGTTCTGGAGGCTGAAAAGTCCAAGATCAAGGCTCTGGCAGATGTGGTGTCTGGTGCGGGCCGGCTTCCTGGCTCATTGGTGGCGCTTCCTGCTGCATCCTCCCGTAGGAGAAGGTGGGAGAGGCCCTCGGGGCCTCTTGTATAAGGGCACTGATCCCATTTGCGAGGGCTCCCTCCTGGCCTGATCACCTCCCAAATGTGTCCTCCTAATGCCGTCATGTTGGGGTTAGGCTTCAACACATGAAAGTGGACACACGCATGCAGTCTATATCCACTCAGCACACCAGAAACCCTCCTTAGCCAGGGCCTTGCATTCCAGTCATAGTAAATGTCCCTTCCCCTATGCCACCTCCCTCAGGTGACACCCACTCTTCCACCTCATGGCCATCTCCAGTCTCCAGCACTCCTGTTCCCTGCACCCTCCCCCATCCACCTACCCATCCCAGACTCATTAGGTTGCCCAAGCTGCTCCTGCACAGCCCCCAACGCTGCGGCAGACATCCTGGCCCTGTCCCACAAGGCTCTGTGCCACTGGAGAAAACATGGTCCTGCAGAGGTCGCACAGCAGTTGCGGGCGTCCCAGTTTCCCCGAGTTCTTTATGGCTGACTTCACTCGTCCTTGCGGGCATCCTCCCAGCCGCCGCTGACCAGTCTCCAGCACTGTCTTCTTGCAGCCCCATCTGCTGCTGGTCTTCCCGCTCCGGGCTAAGACTTTGCTTTCTGCTACATGGAGAAAACTGAGGCAAGCAGTAGGGTCTCTGTTGACTTGGGCCCTTTAGTTACAGACCACAGAGCCGTTTGTTGGTTTGTGCTGGGAAAGGCCCAGGGTCGACGCTGGATCACCACTCAGGCACCGCCTGACCTTGAGCAAGCCACTTCACTGCTCTAAGCCACTGCAGTCTCTCCACCTGTCAATGGCTCAGTGGCCCAAAAACGGTTGTGAGCAGTGCCCTGGGGCAGACACACAGTAAATGTCCCTGTTATCACATCTGGGGCCAGGCCACGCTCCCTCCCACCCTCCAGTCTCAGGTGACCCCTGTGGTCCCTCTCTCCCAGGAACTTGCTCCTCTTGTCTTCTCTCCTGTCATTTTGGTTTCTGCCACCCCCGGGTCATTCCGCCTCACATCTCTCCCTTGTTTATAAATATGGCCAAGTCTTTTAACTTAAAAAAAAAAAAAAAGAACAAAAAGCTCCCCCTTGACCCTGCACCTGTCTGTGGGTCCTTGAAGGAGTCTCAGGATTTAGTTGTTTCACCCACTTGGCCCCTGCCCATCCCAAACAAACCTTGGGGTATGTGGAAAACAGAGGAATGACCCCCAGTCATCCACTACTTAAATAGAAAAAGATTTATCACTTTTAACTAAATGCTATGTGGAACAACACTCTTGCCTTTCGGGCACCGCTAGCAGAGTCAGATCCGGCTCAGGGTGCATGGCCGCCCGGGCTCCCCCTCGCAGAGGTTAGCAGCAGCACGGCGCATGCGCCTGGACAGCAGCCAAGAGAGAACCTAGTGGCCAGGGGACGCACAGGTCTGACTCGGCGACACCCACTCGTCCCTTGTTGTTGTTTCAGTGTTGTGGTTTCTATAGAGCCGGAAAGAAGCCTTTCAAAAGGGCGACTGGCCCCGTGTTGGTCGGTCAGACCACGCGAGGGACGCAATTGTTTCTCCAGCAGGGGGGGGCGGTCCGCCACTGATGCTTGCTCACGCGCGGAAATCTGGACCAGGTCTTGTCACTAGCAGGTGTGGGAACTAGGAGTGAGGACACCCAAGAAATGCACAGTTTTGGAGCAAAATTCCTCCCCAACCTTTATTTCTCTTGCTGAAATGCCTCTTCATTTCTTTGGCTTGAGAACCACAGTCATTTTCCTGGCTGCAAAAACCCACTGTCACAAGGCAAAGGATGGCCTAGACAGGCCATGCTAGCAGTGTGTGCCCTACGTGCCAAACCTGTGTGGAGCAGCACCGGGACCCTACCCTCCGGGCCACCACACCCCCACAAAGGCTGTGCCTTATTCTCCCACCTCCCATCTAAACCTTTCCGAACAGTCTGCACGTGCTCTTGCTTGTTCGTTTTATTTAGCTTTGTTCTAAGTGCTCATCTGTCCCACAGTGTGCTGAGATGGGCTCCTGAAACTCCTCACATTAAATCAAGGCCATCAATAGCCATCAAACTTTCCAATCCAGCGTGCTGTTTACTCCCCGTCTTTCTAGACTGCTCTGCTGCATGTGAACTGTTGGGCACTCTCTCCTCGAAGCTCTGATGACACTTCGTTTCTCTGTCCGCTTTACAGATTTCCTTACCCCCTTCTCCTTCCACCCTCACTGCACACCCTCTCTCTCTGAGCGAAGTCCTTGAGTTTCATGGTCTCCACGAATTCCCAACCCGATGTCTCTATCTGGGACTTCCACCCCAAGCTCCAGACCCACACAACCGATACCAGCGAGCTGATCCCCGGGTGCGGGTGCCCCGCCAGCCCCGCTCATCTTCCTTCTTAAGCGAGCTTGGTGCCAGCACCCACTGTCCACAGGGGTGGCATCGCCCTGGCACCCTGAGCTGGAGAACTGGGAGTGACCCCTCACCACTCACAGCCGGTCACGCTGCAAGTCCTCTGCCAGTTACCTCTTACACATTGTTCTGATCCACTCCTTTGTATACATTCTTTAAGAGGAAGCAGGATTTAGTCGATTGAAGAACAAAGCTGGGTCCCAGTCCTGGCTCCCCTTCTGTGAATGGCTTAATCGCCTGAAACTCCAGTATCATCATCTAGGAAATGGGAATACTGGCAGCACCTGCCCTAGGGGACAGGTGAGAGTTAACCGTGTAGAGCCCTTGGCACAGTGCGGGGCAGGCAGTGAAGGGCGCGTGGCAGTGTTCCTAGGCCGCCGCTGCTACTGCCACCCTCCGACCACAGGCCTGGCTCAGCCTCCTCTGGACACTCTCTGCAAGGCCCCCACGGCCTCCTCTGGCCTCGCTGCAGCCCTCAGGATGGTGCCGGCCGGCCGGGAGCAGACGATTCAGCCTTGTCCTTCAGGACTCCTCCTACCGGCACGCCCGCTCACTTTCCTCACTTTCCAGGTGGCTCTCTGGGTGCTCCCTGCTCCCCCTCCGTCTGCCCTCCCCCGCCCCCACCATGGTGCTCAGCACATAGCTTTGTAATTCCACATTGTTTATGTTTCTGTCTCTCCCACTAGATTAATGCTTAGTAAGGAAGCACATTTCTAGGCTCCTCCACTTACCTTCTACGTTTTCTGGGGTGAGACCCAGAAATGTAGCGTTTGGCGCGAAGCCAGGGCAATGGTGACGCTCTGTTGGCTTGGGAGGAGCTCTCTGAGCGCAGCAGGGACCGTCCTGTGCTCCCAGGATCTAACCCAGCCTCGGGCAAACAGCAGGAATTTGGAAGTTGCTTGTTCAGTGAGCCAAAGATGACTCCAAGGAAGTCAGAAACTGGGAGTGGCTGTCTGCTGGGTGGCAGGGGTCACGCCACCTGGTGCGACCCTGGCGTGGCCATCCAGGCTGGGCGTTGGAAGCACTGTTCCAGGAAGCCTGTGACCCTTCTGCCCACCTGGGGGGTCTGCTGGGATGCTTTTCAACCACTCACCCTACTTTTTGTCTTTGTCCATATTCTATACATTGAGATTCCATGTCAAAATTTCATTTTTATAAAAGACTTTACTGCTTAAAAAAAATTAAATGAGTTTGAAAACTGCTGTACCAGATAGTTTTTTAAGTTGGAGAGAAAATCAATCTCCCAGGTGGTAAGAAGTTTTGAAGAACTTTTGGAGCTGCTGCTTTCTCATTTGCCATGGTATTTGCTTTGTTCATTCCCCTAGGACTGCAATAAAAGCCAGGCTCTGATGTTTGATGGGCTCTCAAATATAGTGAGAGTAAAGAGCTTATTTACAGAGACTTTCCAACCAGCCACACTGTCAGAGCAAGGTGCCAGATGGCTGTGGATCAGAGCACCTTACTGCCAGCACTTAGGTATCCTAAGAACCTATTTCTAGAATGTTACTGGAATCCAAGGGCATGTTCTCTAACTAAATCTACAACTACTTGAAGCCTCAAAGAGCCAAGATCTACTAGCATATTCTAAAACAGAGTACATCAATGCGACCTTTTACTTTCTATGGTATGTTTCCTCTTCCTAGCCCCTATAAGGAATTCCTGAAGTAAGTCTCTCCAGTCACATCTTAAATTTTGCTCCTAATTTCTGCTTCCGGGCTCTTTAATTCTGTCCCGTGTAGCTTGCATAGCTATTCACCAGAAGCCTAACAAACCTTCTCCTTCCCAGCGAGAAAGGCCCCTCTGCCATCATGCCGTCTGGCAATTTTTTTTTCTTTTTTTTGCAAGAAGACATACTTGGGAGAAATCTAGGAACGTTATGATTTGAATACACTATTATAGCCAACACTTTCAGAAAAATATTTGATCACTATCAAGGAAAGTAGTGATAAGGAATATATTCTAAATGTTCTACAATTGTCATTCATGTGACTTGCATTGTTAGAGCCCTGGAGTCATAATTCATTGTTTTATTCATTACCATCTAGAGATATTAACTGGACTTTTTGTCTTTTTAGATTACTTTACCCGAGGGTCAGCAGCGCAAATCATTACCATCACTGAAAATACCGAATCAGCTTTCCTTTACAGAAAACACGGTGTCAGAGTTGTTCCAGACGAGCCGCAAACATGCGGTTCCTTTGCACTACGCGGAGCGCGTTGCCCTGACGATTTATAGGCCCCTCCCGCCACCTGGCGGGGAAACCTGCAGCACAGCTCTGCGGGAGATGGCCGCCGCCCTCGTCACGCGTGCAAGGTAAATTAGCTTCAAGTTCTGCAACCTCTTTAACAAGCAACTTGTCTCTCACAGAAACCCTCCGAGTGGAGTCGGACGCGGTGGCTGGCGTCCGGGACCCTTCGAGCCCGTCATCGCGCTTCGCTTGCTTGCTGGCGTTGGCGCCACTGCCGCCTTTACCCTGGGCGCCGGAGACGGGCGAGGCGCCGCGCCGACGCCGGCCGGCCATTCGCGGCCCCTCTCAGCCAGCTCACCTCGCGGCCAGCGGGTGAAAGAAGAAAGTGCAGCGGAAATGAGAGAATACTTTGAGTCAGATGAAAATGAAAACACAATGTGCCAGAATTTATGGATGCAGAGCTCAGGGGAAAATTTATAGTTGTGAACGGCTACATTTAAAAAAGAAAAAAAGATCTCAAACAATAACATAACATAGACCTTGAGGAAATAGAAAAAGAAGAGCAAACTCAACCCAAAGCTAGAAAAGAATAAAGAAGAAAATAAGAAAGGTTAGCGTGGAGATAAATAGAAGAGAGGAACAGCAATAGAGAAAATCAACAAAAGCAATAGTTTCAGCTAACTGTAACCCCAGATGAGGGTTACTACCAGGGTGGAAAATTTCCGTTTGAAACTGAAGTTCCCGATGCATACAACATGGCGCCTCCCAACGTGAAATGCTGAGCGGGTTTGGCGCCGGCATCAGAGACAGGTGAGATTTGTCTAAGTTTACTGAAGGAACACTCGATTGACGGCACTGGCTGGGCTCCCACAAGGAGGGGTTGTTTGTTTTCTTGTTGACGTTTTTTTCTTTGTTTGTTTGGTTTTTTTGAGACAGAGTCTCGCTTTGTTGCCCGGGCTAGAGTGAGTGCCGTGGCATCAGCCTAGCTCACAGCAACCTCAAACTCCTGGCTCAAGCGATCCTCCTGCCTCAGCCTCCCGAGTAGCTGGGACTACAGGCATGTGCCACCATGCCTGGCTAATTTTTTCTATATATATTAGTTGGCCAATTAATTTCTTTCTATTTATAGTAGAGACGGGGGTCTTGCTCTTGCTCAGGCTGGTTTCGAACTCCTGACCTCGAGCAATCTGCCTGCCTTGGCCTCCCAGAGCGCAAGGATTACAGGCGTGAGTCACCATGCTCAGCCTCTTGTTGAGTTTTAAGAGTTCTTTGTATATTGTGGATAACAGTCTGTTAGGAGGTATATCTTTTTATTATCTTTTTTTTTTTTTTTTGGAGACAGAGTCTCACTCTATTGCTAGGGCTAGAGTACCATGGCATCAGCCTAGCTCACAGCAACCTCAAACTCCTGGGCTCAAGCAATCCTTCTGCCTCAGCCTCCCAAGTAGCTGGGACTACAGGCATGCCTGTATACTTTTTTTTATATGTTTTTAGTTGGCCAATTAATTTCTTTCTATTTTTATAATAAAGACGGGGTCTCACTCTTGCACAGGCTGGTCTTGAACTTCTGACCTCAAGCGATCCTCCTGCCTTGGCCTCCCAGAGTGCTAGGATTACAGGCATGAGCCACTATGCTTGGCCAGCAGGTATGTCTTTTGCATATATGTCTCCCAGTCTGTGGCTTGTATTTTCATTCTCTTGATAGTGTATTTTGCTGGGAAGAACATTTTATTTTAATGAAGTCCAACTTATCAATTCTTTATTTCGTTGATTATATCTTTGGTGTTGTATCTAAAAAGTCATCACCAAACCCAAGGTCATCTATATTCTCTTCTATGATCTCTTCTAGGAGTTTTTCTTTATTTTACATTTATGTCTGTGATCAATTTTGAGTTTTTTGTGTATGGTGTAAGGTCTGTGTCGAGATTCTTCTTTTTTTTGCATGTGGATGTCCAGTTGTTGCAGCAGCATTTGCACTACCTTTTCTCCACTGTATTGCATTTTCTCCTTTGTTAAAGCTCGGTTGATTATATTTTTGTGGGTCCATTTCTGGGCTGTCTTTTCTATTCCATTGATCCATGTACCCATTCTTTCATGAATACCACGCCGTCTTGATTATGGTAGCTTTATAGTAAGTCTTAAAGTCAGATAAGTCAGGCCTCTTTGTTCTTCTCCTTCAATATTGTGTTGGCTATTCTGGGTCTTTTGGAACTCCATATAAACTCTAGAATTAGGTTTTCAATATTCACAAAATAACTTTCTGGGATTTTCATAGAGATTTCATTGAATGTACAGATCAAGTGGGAAGAACTAACATCTTTACAATATTCAGTCTTTTCAGCCATGAACATGGACTATCTTTCCATTTATTTAATTCTTTGATTTTATTCATCAGAGTTCTGAAATTTTCTTCATATAGATCTTATACATATTTTTGTTTTTTGGAGGTGCTAATATAAATGGTATTGTGGGTTTTTTTTTTCTTCAAATTCCACTTATTCATTGCTGGTATATAGGAAAGCAACTGACTTTTGTATATTAGTCTTGTATCTTGCAATGCTGCTATAATTGCTTATTAGTTCCAGGAGCATTTTTATGCATTCTTTCACATTTTCTACACAGACAATTATGTCATCTGCAAACAAAGACAGTTTTATTTCTTCCTTTCCAATTTGTATACCTTTTATTTCCTTTTCTTGTCTTATTGCATTTAGTAGCACATCTAGTATGGTGTTAAAAGCAATAGTGAGAGGTTATATTCTTGTCTTATTTTTCTTAGTAGAAAAGCTTTTAGTTTCTTATCATTAAGTATGATGTTATCTGTAGGTTTTTTGTAGATATTCTTTATCAAGTTGAGGAAGTTCTTCTCTAGTCCTTCATTTACTGAGAGTTTTTTTTTTTTTTAATCAAAAATAGGTGTTGGATTTTGTCAAATACTTTTCTTTTTTTTCTTTTTGAGACAGAGTCTCGCTCTGTTGCCTGGGCTAGAGTGCCGTGGTTTCAGCCTAGCTCACAGCAACCTCAAACTCCTGGGCTCAAGCGATCCTCCTGCCTCAGCCTCCCGAGTAGCTGGGACTACAGGCACGGGCCACCATGCCCGCCTAATTTTTTCTCTATATTTTTAGTTGGCCAATTAATTTATATTTTTAGTAGAGATAGGGGTCTCACTCTTGCTCAGGCTGGTCTCGAACTCCTGACCTCAAGTGATCCTCCCGCCTTGGCCTCCCAGAGTGCTAGGATTACAGGCATGAGCCAACGGCGCCCAGCCCAGATGCTTTTTCTTTTTCTGCATCTGTTTATACAATCATGTGATTTTTTGTCTTCTTTAATCTGTTGATGTGATGGATTACATTAATTGATTTCCCAATGTGAAGCCAGTGTTGCCTGTCTGGGATAAACCCATTTGGTTGTGGCGTGTAATTCTCTCCACACATTGCTGAATTTGGTTTGCTGACATTTTGTTGAGGATTTTTGCGACTATGTTATATTCATGAGATATAAGTCTGTTTTTTGTATTGTTTTTTGTAATGTCTTTGTCTGGTTTTGATATCTGGGTAATGTTAGCCTCATAGAAGGAGTTAAGTATTTACTCCCTTAAATTTTCTGAAAGAATTTCTGTAGAACTGATATTATTTCTTCCTTAAATGTTTGGTAGAATTCCTTAGTTAAGCCATCCAGGTCTGAAGTGTTTTTTGTGGGAACGTTTTCAATTCAATTTTTTTAATAGATGTAGGGCTTTTCAGGTTATCTGAAAAGTGAGCTTTGGTACTTGTATCTTACAAGGAATTTGTCCAGTTCATTTAAGTCATCAAATTTATTGGCATCAAGTTGTTCATAATATTCTATTCATAATATTCTATTATTATCATTTTAACATATGTAGATAATATTCTATTCATAATATTCTATTATTATCATTTTAACATATGTAGAATCTGAAGTCATGTCAACTTCTCTCATAGCTCACAACAACCTCAAACCCCTGAGCTCAAGTGATCCTCCTGCTGCAGCCTCCCATGTAGCTGGGACTACAGGCATGCGCCACCATGCCTGGCTAATTTTTTCTATTTTTTGTAGAGATGGGATCTTGCTCTTTCTCAGACTGATCTCAAACTCCTGACCTCAAGCAACCCTCTCACTTCAGCCTCCCAAAGTGCTAGGATTACAGGTGTGAGCCACCATGCCTGGCCTTCTCTCATTCTTGATATAGGCAATTTGTATCATTTCTTTTTTTCCTGATCATTCTATTGATCTTCTCAAAGAGCCACACTTTGGTTTCATTCATTCATTTTCTCTCTTTTCTAGTTTTTATAGTTGATTTTTCACTCTGATCTTGTTTGTTTTCTTCTTCTTTGGTTTTATTTCATTTTCTTTATCTATTAATAGTTTCTTAAGGTAGAAGCTGAGGTCATTGATCTGAGAACTTTCTTTTTTCCTAATATAAACATTTCATGCAAAAAAACACTCCATCTAATTACTATTTTAACTTTATCTCACAAGGTTTGATGTAGTTTAATTTTAATTTAACTTAAAATACTTTCTAACTTCTCTTTTGATTTCTTCTTTGACACATAGCTTCTTTAAAAGTATGTTAGTAAGTTTCCAAGTATTTGTGGATTTTTTTGATATATTTCTGATATTGATTTCTAATTTCATTACATTATGGTTAGAAAACATACTTCGTATGACTTGATTCCTCTTAATCTGTTTATAGTCCATAATATGGTTTATTTTGATAAATGCTCCATGTGAACTTGAAAATAATGTGTATTTCTGCCATTGTTGTAAGTAGTTTTCTATAAATGCCAATTAAATTTAGTTGGTTGATTGTGTTTAAGTCTTCTATATACTTATGATTTTCTGTCTAGTTTTCTGTCAATTATCAAAAGAAGGATTTGAAATCTCCAAATATAATAGGAATTGCAGTTCTGTCAGTCTTTACTCCATGTATTTTAAAGTTCTGCTAATAGGAACAAAGCTGTTTAGGACTGTTATGTCTTATTGATGAATTGACCCCTTTATCATACAAAATTATTCTCTTCATCTCTGGTAATATTATTTTCTCTTAAATTGATTTTGTCTGGAATTTCTTTGCTCTGAAATCTACTTTGTCCACACAGTTTTCTTTTGGTTAGTATGAGCATGGTTATCTTTTTTCATTCTTTACTTTTAGACTATTTGTCTTTATATTTAAAGTGTATTTCTGTATTCAGCAAATAGTTGGGTTTTGCTTTTTTAGCCATTCTAAAAATCTCTGCCTTTTTAAGTGTGATGTATAGATAATTTACATTTAATGTAATGACTGCTATGGGTTTAAATCTATCATCTTATTTGTTTTCTATTTGTCTAAATCTGTTCTTTAATCTCTTTTTACCTCCTTTTTTCCCTTCTCTTGGATTAATTGAGTATTCTTTTATTATTCCATTCTATCTCCTTTGTTGACTTTTTAGCTACAACTCTTTGTTGTACCATTTTAGTGGTTACCTCAGGCTTTTGGTATACATCTTTAACTCACCACAGTACAATATTATACCTCTTCACATATAGTATAAGAATCTTAGAACACCGTGCTTTCTTTTTTCACCTCTTGACCTTTCTGCTTTTGTTGTCATACATTTTACTTTTATGTATGTTATACAACCCACAATGCATTATTATTATTATTTTTGCTTTAACAGACTATGTTTTTCGAAGATTTAAATAATAAGGAAAAAATTCTCTTTATTTACACTTTCATTACTCTTCCCAGTAATTTCCATTCTTTTGTATAGACTCAGCTTTCCATCTGGCATCACTCTTCCCTCTGCCTGAGGAATTTCTTTTTTATTATTTCTTTAGTAGATCTGCTTGTAATAAATTCTTTCAGCTTTTGTATGTCTTCAAGAACCCTGTTTTGCCTTTGTTTCTTAAAGATATTTTCACTGGATAAAGAATTCTAAGTTGATAATTTTTTTAATACTTCAAAGATATTGCTCCACTGTCTTCTGGTCTTTCTTGTTTCCCACAAGCCATCACACTCATCTTTGTTCCTCTGTCCCTATGTCATCCTTCTCTGGTTGCTTTTAATATTTTTTTAAAAACCATTAATATTAAGCATTAATAATTTGGTTATACTGTGTCTTTTTATACCTTTTTTTCCTTTGAGACAGAGTCTTGCTCTGTTGCCTGAGCTAGAAAGCAGTGGCATCATCACAGCTCACTGCAACCTCAAGCTCCTGGGCTTAAGCCATTCCTCTGTCTCAGCCTCCTGAGTAGCTGGGATTACAGGTGTGCACCACCATGCCTGCCTATTTTATTCTATTTTTGGTAGAGATGGGGTCTTGTTATTGCTCAGGATAGTCTCAAACTCCTGACCTCAAGCAATCCTCCTGCCTCAGCCTCCCAGAGTGCTAGAATCACAGGTATGAGCCACCAGGCCTGGCCATTTATATTAGCTTTCTTTGTGTTTCTTGTGCTTGTGATTCATTACGCTGCTCGGATCTGTGGGTTTATAGTTTTCATCAAATTTTGAAAACTTGCAGTCATTCTTTTTTTCTTTTATTTTTTTTGAGACAGAGTCTCACTCTGTTGCCCAGGCTAGAGTGCCGTGGTGTCAGCCTAGCTCACAGCAACCTCAAACTCCTGGGCCCAAGCGATCCTCCTGCCTCAGCCTCCCGAGTAGCTGGGAGTACAGGCATGTGCCACCATGCCCAGCTAATTTTTTCTATATATTTTTAGTTGGTCAATTAATTTGTTTCTATTTTTAGTAGAGACGAGGTCTCGCTCTTGCTCAGGCTGGTTTCAAACTCCTGACCTTGAGCGATCCACCCGCCTCGGCCTCCCAGAGTGCTAGGATTATAGGCGTGAGCCACCTCACCCAGCCCAGTCATTATTTCTTTAAATATTTTTTCTGTCTCTCCCTCTCTGTCCCCTCCTTTGGGAACTCCAATTACACATATGTCAGAAATACCACAGCTTACTGATGCTCTGTTAATTTTCATTTTTCAGACTTTTTTCCTATGTTTTATACTGGATAGTGTCCATTGCTATGTCTTCAAGTTCAACAATCTTTTTATCTTCAATGTAATCTGCCTTTAATATCATCAATGTCTTTTTCATTTTAGACATTGTAATTTTCATCTCTAGATATTCAGTTGAGTTCCTAAATATTTTTGTGTGTTCCATGTCTCTGCTTAATATATACAATATTTCCTTTTGTTTCTTGCACATACATAAAATAGTTAAAATAACTCTTTAAAGTGTCCTTATCTGCTAATTCTGTCACCTGTGTCACTTTGGGGTCACTTTTGATTGCTTGATATTTCTCCTCATAATGGGTCTATGCAGACTCCTGGCTTAGCCTCTTCAACTCAAGGAGATTCCTGGTTCCTTCCTGGGTTCCTTCTCTATGCACCATGGCTTGGAAACTGTCTCTTGCAATGAGCTGGGGTAATGGCAGGGCTCATCTTATTTGCCTCCTGTCGCTCAGGGATTACAGTCCTTTGTTGTCCAATGTTCAGTGTCTTCAAAATCATATTTCATATATTTTATCTTTTTTATCTAGTTGTTTCATGTCCTACTATTCCATCTTGTCTGGGAGCAGAAGTTTCTCTCATTTAAAAAAATATTGCTGCATAGTATTACATAATGTGAATTCTTCACCGTTTTAACCAGGTCTTATAGATGGACATTTGGGTAATTTCCAGTAATTGTTACCACAAATGATGCTGCAAAACAGGGAACATTTATTTTAATTTATGGAATAACATGTTGCCCAATAATTTTTTTAAATGCTGCAATTGTTAATCTTGTACTCACAGCATTTTATAAACATGCAGGTTTTGTCATCAAGACACATTTCCACAAATGAGATATCTGGGGGAAAGGGTACACGCCCTCTTGCAATCCCAGTGCTTTGGAAGACCAAGGCAGGATTGCTTGAGACTAGGAGAGGTGACCAGCCTGGGCAATATAGACCCTAGGCAGAGGCCCGGTCTCTGCACAAAAACTTTTAAAACTAGTTGGGCATGGTGGCACATGCCTGTTGCTGTACTTCTAGCTACTTGAGAGGCTGAGGTGGGAGGATCCCTTGAGCCCAGGGGTTGGTGTTTGCAGTGAGCTATGATCATTCGTGCCACTGCACTCCAGCAGGGGCGACAGAGACCCTGTCTCTACAACAAAAACAAACACAGAGAGTACATGCCTTTGTTATTTAGGTAGGCATTGCCAAATTCCCTTCCATGAGTTTGCACCATTTTGCATACTTGCCAGTTATTTCTGACAATGCCTGGCCAGCAGAGTGAGTTGTCAGAATTTTGAGTTTTTGCCATTTTGATAAGTGAGATATTCCACTAACATTTTAATGTGTGCTCTTACAGCTTTTTCCTGTGTATGTATGTATATATATATATATATATATATATGAGTAAATTTCTTATGTCATCTTTTCTCCCATCCTTCTGCCTCATCTCCTGCCTTCCCTATTCTTCTGCCACCCATAACATCGGATACTGCTTATATCAAACATGCTACTGGCAGGGATTGAAAACTTCGTCCCGAAGTCCACTCTGTGTTTCTCCTCCGCAGTCATGACTCACCAAACAATCTGCAGTTTCCACTACCTGGAGGACTCAATTCATTCTGAGAATCATTTCTCTTTGAAACCGCTCCTGAAGAGCCCAAGCTAGATGGCGTGCTCCCAACACCTGCTATCACCGCGTTTGGCTGCCTGGCTCGTGATTCTTCGCATTGCCCTGCTAGGGCTAGCCGCCCCCCGAGCCCGGCACGACGCCAGTTACTGAGCAGGCGCTGAATTAAACATCTGACGAGTGACTCAAAGAGTTAATGCTAAAAATACCAAAGACGGCTTCCAGCCTGCGAGGGAAGGGCCGCAGTCTGCGACCAGCAGCGTCACCACTTCCTCCTCGCGCCGCCGGCCCTTCCGGCCCGCGGCTCAGGTGCCCCGCCCCGCCCGTCCCCTCCCGTCCCCTCAGACCCCGCCTCCAGCCCGGCCCACCCGAGTCCCTCCCCAGGCCCGCCTCCAGCCCCGCCCACCCGCGCCCTCACCCGCCCCGCCCTGCCCAGGCCCCGCCCACCGCGCTCCTCCCCCCTGGCCCCGCCCCCAGCTAGGGCGGAGGGCGCGGCCGGACTGAAAAAGGTGACGCCGACGTCAGCACGCCGGGGCGGGGCGCAGAGGACGCGTGCGTGGAGAGCGTGGGCTCGCCGGTGAGGCGGACCCGCTGTGCTGTGCCGTGCTGTCCCGTCCCGCCGTGTCCTGCGGCCGCTCTCCCCGGAACCGAACTCGCTTCCCGAAGCTGCCCCCGCCGCCCGGCCGCGGCAGTAGCCGCGCCTGCGCAGCGCCGCCGAGCGGGCCGGGCCGGCGGCCATGGCGCACCGCTGCCTGCTGCTGTGGGGCCGCGGCGGCTGCTGGCCCCGCGGCTTCCCGCCGCTCCTCGCACCTGGCGGCGGCGTGGGCCCGAGCGAGCGGCTCCGCCTCCGGACGGTGAGTCCCGGTGCCCGCGCCCTGCGCCCCGTCCCCCGGGCTCGCTTCCGGCCGGGGAGAGCGGCGTCAAGGTCACCGGCCCCCGGGCGCCCGGCCCCTGACTGCGGCCGCGTGCGCTGCGCGCCGGGCCGGCCGCCGGCCTTCTGCGCTCCGCCCGCGGGCGCCGCGCGGTTCCCGTTCGATTTCGGGGAACGCGCGTCTCCAGGAGAGCCGGATCTCTGTGCAGCGTGGAGCGGCAGGCCTGCGAAGGTCACTTCGCGCCTCTGGTTGCCCCCGCTCGCCCGCTGCCGTGGCGTGGGGACGAGAACGAAGGTGGTGTGCCGGTGTCTAAGACCGTAGCACAAGCTCGCATTTTGGAGCCAGGCTCCTTAACCTTTCCGAGCCTCCGTTTTCCCATCTGTTGAATGGGGCCATTGCTGGCATTCTGGGATTCGCACATGGTAATACCAATAAGTTTTAGCTGTTATTATAACAATGTCGCCTTTTCAGAGTAAAGACTGTGTGTTTCTGTTGCATAACAGGGCCAAATAGAGCGTCTTAATTAGGAGGCCATTTCTGTGTTGGTAGTAACCAATTCCATTTTGGGATACACACGGGATCCCTACATTCATATTCTGAACTGATGATAGTGTGTTGACAAAACCATGGCAGTGATCTTTCTCAAGTAAAGGTTCCTGTATCTGTTAGTGGATATCAGCTATTTCAGTGAGACAGGTACTTTCTGTCAGTTCTTTAGGGTTCAGCCTTGTACTACTTTACCCAGAATGTATAGGTTGGTGGTTGAGGCCTTGGAGTCAGTCACAGGCCTTGGCCTCTTACTTGCCAGATGTCCTTGAGCAAGTTGGCTCTGTCTCTGTACTTAAAGGGGGGAAATAATAGTACCTGTGTTCATGACATTTGCTCTCTGCACCTCCCTTGCTGGTCTTGGATTGCTTAGCGACTGTCATCTCTTTCCTACTCTGTACTGCCCAGTTGTGGGCCCTTTTTTACTTTTTTGCATTGCATTCTTTTCCTGCCTTAACCCAGCCCTGATCCCTTTTGCCACTACTGAATATTGGACTGGGGCATATAATGGGCAGGTAGGGATCTACCTTATGAGTTTGCAGTTTTTATGTCAGGACTGTCATGTATTAATAAAAGGCCTTCCTTTCCAGTGGCACCGTTGTCCCTGTAAATCGCAGTTGCTGAGATAGAAGGAGATCTTCTGCACTGGCAGCTGTAGCTGAATGACTGGGGAAGGAGTGGTCTGTGACATATTCCCTAGTTCTGCTCTGAAGATCTAGGTGGAGACACCTGGGCATTACTGCGATGCTTGTGGGGGAGTCTGATGGAACAGATTTTCCTTTAGGTTCATGCTACTATTAAAGACCAGAGACAGAAGTAGACAGAAGTATTGTTCTCACAGGTCCGTGGGGAAGAGATTTTGATGTGTTGAGATATCAGTTCTCAGGTCTTATGCTCCGGATAAGACTGGTGATAAACCAACTGAAAAGTGCTTGTACTGTCAAACAAAAGCTAATTCTCTAAAATGAGGCGCTCTAAACTTAAATTTTGTAAGTCAGTATCTCTTATTTATTCTTTGAGTGATAGACATCCAGGGCTTGGCTTAATATGCACAGGAGGAAAAGTTTCATTGATGGTTCTCCCCTCCCCTCCCCTCCCCTCCCCTCCCCTTCCCACTCCTGTCCTCCCCGGGTCCACCCACCTCTGTCCTCCCCTCCCCTCCCCTTTTTTGAGACAGAGTCTCACTCTGTTGCCTGTGCTAGAGTGCCTTGTCGTCAGCCTAGCTCACAGCAACCTCAAACTCCTGGGCTCAGGCGATCCTGCCTCAGCCTCCCGAGTAGCTGGAACTACAGGCATGCACCACCGTGCCTGGCTAATTTTTTCTATATATTTTTAGTTGGTTAATTAATTTCTTTCTATTTATTGTAGAGATGGGGTCTCGCTCTTGCTCTGGCTGGTTTCGAACTCCTGACCTTGAGTGATCCTTCTGCCTCTACCTCCCAGAGTGCTAGGTTTACAGGCGTGAGCCACTGCGCCCAGACCAGATGGTTTCTTTATATAAAACAACCTCACTGTTAAATACAGTCATGAAGATTATTACTAGCGTATTCCATGTAAACACAATTTGAAAATATAGCCCAAATAGAGCTTCTTAGCAAACATTTATAGAGTGCATATAGTGTGCCCAATTCTGTGCTAACCTTTACGGTGATATAAAGACTTACTTAGATTTTGCTATGATTTGGATATGGTTTGGGTTTGTCCCCACCAAAATGCATGTTGACTTGGTGTGATGCTAGGGGTAGTGAGTTCTTGCTCTGGATTAGTTCTGGCCGCAGTGGGTGGTTATAGAGGGAGGTTCCTCCTGTTTGGTCCTCTCTCTTCCCATGTGTCCCCTTCTCCTTTGTCCTTGCCCACCATGTTTTGGCCTAGCACCAAGCCTGGTGCCATGTTTCTTGTCCTTCCCAGCCTGCAGAACTGTGAGCTAAATAAACCTCTTTATAAATTACCCAGCCTCAGGTATTCTATTATAGCAGTACAAAATGGACTAAAGCATGGTGATATAAAGAATCTTTTATATTACCTCTGTGCTACCCGTTCCCTATACTATATAGGTATTGTACTGTTGCACTTGTTATACCATATTGTAACTGTTTTGTTTCCATGACTTTCTTCCTTACCCTTCTGAGTTTCTTACTTTCGGGTGGAAACAGGTTCTGATTCCCCTTTGGATGCCCTATTGCTTGGCAGCATCTGGCATGGAATAGGTGCTCAATGCATGTATGTAATTTGTTGACTTGTCTAGCTTGCATTTGTCTTATATTTCATCTTAATCTATATACACCCTTAAGGAATTTGGTATTGGAAAAAACTCCTCACTTACAATACATTTCTTATCCATTATCTGGTAGGTCAAGTGATCGAGTGGTGGAGGAGGTTCTAACACAACATAAGTTCCAAATTCTCTCCAGTCAGCATTGTGGTCGGCCATAAATAGTCTGTCAGTGTTTCTGTCCTGTTTCACTGTGCAGAGTTGTATATTTAAAATTAAATCAGCTCTCCTTTTTGACAGTTTTATTCACATACCATAAAATTCATCATTTTAAAGTATACAATTCAGTGGTTTTTAACATATTCAAAAAGTTGTGCAACCATCACCACCATCCTTAATTCCAGAACATTTTCACCTCTAAAAGGCAGCCTGTAACCATTGCAGTCACTCCCCATTTCTCTCTAACTGTCCCCCCAGCCCCAGGCAACTACTCATCTACTCTCTCTATGGATTTGCCTGTTTTGGACATTCCATATACAGTTGACCCTTGAACAACATGGGTGTGAAATGCACAGGTTCACTTATATGTGGTTTTCTTTACTAAATATGTTGGAACATTTTTTGGAAATTTGCAACCATTTGAAAAAAACTTGCAGATAAACCTCATAGCCTAGAACCATTGAAAAAATTAAGAAAAAAATATGTCACGAGTGCATAAAATATATGTAGATGCTAGTCTATTTTATTTACTATCATAAAATATACGTAAATCTATTATAAAAAGTTAACATTTTTCAAAACTTATACACAGACCATACAGGGTGCCATTTGTAGTTGAGAGAAATATAAATAAACATAAAGATGTAGCATGAAATCATAACTGCATAAAATAACTAGTTCATATTGTACTACTGTAACAATTTTGTAGCCACCTCTTTGCAGTGGCCAGTATCCACTTAAAAGACTGTTACCTAATAATCTCTGGGTGAGCATTTTGTCCCTCCTGTAAATTGTGTATCACAGTAAAAAGGGATCTCTAGTGGCTTTTGTGTATTTTTCATTTCATTTATTACAATAATATAGACCTTGAATTACACCATGAGACCCATATGAAATACCACTAGTGATGCTGGAAGTGCTACCAAGAAGCAGAGAAAAGTCATGACATTACAAGAGATGTAGAATTCCTTGGTATGTATTGTAGATTAAGGTCTGCTGCTGTGGTTGCCTGACAGACAGTTCATCTTGTAAATAGACAACATAAACTTACAGTATCTGTAAGTGCAGTATAGTACTATAAATGTATCTTCTCTTCCTTATGATTTTCTTAGCATTTTCTTTTCTCTAGCTTTATTGTAAGAATACAGTACATTATACAGCATATAATATTGTAAGAATGCAGTATGTGACATACAAGATATGTGGGGTTTTTTTTGTTTTTTGGTTTTTTTTTTTTTGAGACAGAGTCTCGCTTTGTTGCCCAGGCTAGATTGAGTGCCGTGGCGTCAGCCTAGCTCACAGCAACCTCAAACTCCTGGGCTCAAGAGATCCTCCT